TCGTACCATAAGGCACTCATCAGCAGAAATATATATATATTTTTCGTACCATAAGGCACTCATCAGCAGAAATATATATATATATATATATTTTTTTTTTAAATTAATTTTGTTTTAATGTCTGTATTTGTTTGTTGAAGTCAAATAAATAATAACATCAATAACATGTGCGCATATTTTTTTGGAGATGCATGCTATCGATGTTGAGTTTCGAGTTCGTATCGTGTTTTTACACACAATGATCTATGGCCACCGTATGCAATAGAAATATCCCGCCAACATACCTTGCAAACGCATGCTGATTTATCTTTTCTGGACGTTGTGACAAACTCAAACTCTATTACCAATTATTCCAACCATACTCTTATTAAATTCCATGATTAAAATCTTGCACTGATGGGTATCATCCCGGCAATAAGCGACTAAATGTGCTCACGATCGTCATTGAAAAGTACTCACACATACAGTACACACAACCACACATCCACGAGATGCACACAAATGACACACCATTCAAAAATATTTTTAGTCTGGTCCTCAAGTACTCCACTGCGCACACTGTATTGATGTCTATCAGGTGCTTGACTGCATTCTTATTAGACTTGTCACCAGTCCATCCATTATCGCGACATTTCGCCAGAAGTTTTTCGGTCAAAAACGATACTTTACATTTTTTTTTTTCGTTAGGTAGAAAATGGGAAATTCGTAATGTTTTATTGGCAAATCGTACTTTCGTAATTTAACAAACAATTCGTAATAATTACGAAAAAATCGTACTAGTTGGCAGCTATGCAGTCGTCACTGCATTGATCAAGGTTTACGCACGTGATTATAGTCACCGTGACTCGAATTGCGAGGCATGATGACAGATTGCAAAGCGAATTTGGTTTCTTTTGAAAAAAATAGCGAATGTAAGTAAGAAAACAAATAAATACAAGCATTTTTTGATGCAAATTGGTTGTTGAGAGGTATTTTGTGAAGACAGAAAAGCTAGGCAACAAGCTTTTATTTTTATTTATTCAATCATTATTATTTTTTATTTTTTTTTGAATTTCCGATAAAATTTTTAGGGTCGCAGCCTAAAAATAGGGTCGGTCGGGTAACCGGAAGCAGAAGTATTATTATTTTTGGCCTAACGAGCGTTACCGATGTTACAAAATTTTGTTATGGATGTTACGTTATGGACGTTACACATTAAATACTGCATACAAATGAACCTTTCAAGCACCCTCTACTATGCATCTTATTCACACCCCTCTTTTAAAATATGAAATGACCCTATGTGCATGTAATCTAGGTCATTTGTAACAATGTTCTGTCTCCTGGCTTGAATGTTATAATTACATGTACATGTATAAGAGCCATATCTCAGGCATGCCACTTACATGTACATGTACATACATGTACAGCTGAAGTTTGAAACTGACAAGCACACATGCAAAGTAAGTGAATTTTGATTAATAGTTTTTTCAGAAGTTTTTATCTGAACTAAAGTGTCAATAGCTTTGTTTCGCCATTTCACAAAGTGTCAATAGCTTTGTTTCGCCATTTCACAAAATTTTATTACATGATACAAACAACAGTAACTGTATTTCTCAGCTTATAAAAACCCAAGTAACTCATAATTCTCAGATAAAAATTGCTTTTAAATCAGGAGTGATGCTATACAACCGCTTGGCTTTTCGACTCCTTCGTCAAGTACTCTTGGACATTCCTGTAATTGATGGTGTGCATACAGGGCTCACTGGGTCATTCCGTGCCAATTCAACGGGCCATGGCACCATATGTCACAGATTTTGTTCAAACTTGGTGGTAAGGTTCTGTTAGCTGTTCCATAGATGATATCGAAAGCAAAAATTCAAATTGCTTTCCGTTGTGGTGTTACGGTAGCACAAAGTTCAATGAACTTTGCCAAAAAAAAGGGGGAAACTGACTGGCCCATAGAATAAATCGCTGACTTTAAGGACCCATATCTTGAGATTGATATTGATTTGGAAGCTGAATTTGAATACATGGGTACAACTACTGTAGTAGAGCAGGAATATAGGAAAATAATGCCCATCATGCCTCACACCTTAATTTTAGGGGGGGGTCAAAAATGATCTGTCATGATGCGTCACATGCATTTTTTCAAATTTTGAAGGCCCCTAATCTTGGACCTTTGCATTAACTTTTTTTTTATTTCAATTTTAATGTAATCTCTGACTACTAATATTGACATTTATGTGAAAGAAAGAGCAATTGTAGATGTTTTCCCTGATTTGGGTGACCCCCAAAATGGCCCCAGCCAGAAATCCGCCTTAAAATTGGCCCAAAACAAGGGGGGAAATCCCCTTGTGGCTCAGGTGATATAATTTTCTAGGGTTTTTTTTTTAGGAAAGAGCAAATTTGGAAGATTTCCACAATGTTTCTAAATGTGTTTGTTCACAATTCTTACAGGCTGTTATAATGGAAGCATAATTTGGCTGAACCTCCAGATTGCAGCAAATACGCCATACTTGTACTTTTTAGCAAATGAGGGAGCTCTAATTGAAGAAATGGGGGGGGGAGGGGTCACAAACATTAGCAACTGATCTTTTATTGAAATAAATTCAAACATTTCTCCTATAAGAATGCAAATTGTAAAATGTATTGAAATGTTTTCAAATTGGCACATGAATTGATTTAATGTACATGTACATGTACCGGTAGGTATACCCTAAAAGTGAAATGACGGTGACCTGAATTGTTTCAGATTGAGGACACTCTTATTACTGCATTGCAAATACTACAGGATACATGGTCAATGTTAATTTGAAATGTGCTACTCTCTGAAGAAAGATTATCATTAAGTAAGCAATCACTGACATTTTCAAGTATTTCAACAGGAGGTTTTATACCAAAACAATGATAAAAAGTGACATTTTGACGTAATTCCTCACCACCATCACATCACCATCACATCACCATCACCATTGTCATCACCATCATTTTCTTACAAGAATTGGTTTCTAGTGACATGGGGTGATGGTGGTACACCATAAAAAGGATGAAAAAGATATTTACAGCTGAAAAAAACATGACTGGTAATCTTGGAGCATCACGTTTTCACACACGTAACGTCCGTAACACTACAATGTAACGTCCGTAACGACAAACACTTGGGTGTTTCTCCAACATCACAGTGGATTTTCAAGTGGTAATCCATGTTTGTAAAGAGTGAAGTGACAACTGCTAGTGCATAGTTATTTCAAAGAGCTTTGGCAAGAAACTTCACAGAGTTTCACCAATACATTCCAAATTTGAAAAGCCATGTCCGAAAACGTAACGTCCGTAACGCTCATTAGCAACGATTATGTCTAATTAATTAATCAGGTTACCTCTTAGTTCACCATACCATGTTATACATTTGGGCCTAAGTCTGAAATGTGCTGAGGGGAATAAAATTTGCTTTGACCCCAAATATGTTATTTTGGTTTGTCAAAGTTTCTAGTCGCCTCTGAATGTAACGTCCGTAACGGTGGAATTGCCCATTTGCAGCAGACCTCATTTATTACATGTATTAATAAAAACAGGAGCTTCCTCATAAACCCAAATTTTTTCAACTTTCGAGGAGCTAATTCTACTATGAAACCTAGAAGTTGATCAGGTAGATTGGTTTGCAGAAAAATAAGCAAATTAAGAAGCTGAACTATTTCTTTTTTGGCCTTATTAATAAGTTTAGTATTTAAAATGTTTTGTAATGTGTCTTGTACATGGACTATGCAATAGAGGACATGTACAGCAGGCCTCATTAATTAACAATTTTAGTATTTAAAATGTTTTGGAATGTGTCTTGTACATGGACTATGCAATAGAGGACATGTACAGCAGGCCTCATTTATTAACAATTTTAGTATTTAAAATGTTTTGGAATGTGTCTTGTACATGGACTATGCAATAGAGGACATGTACAGGCAGGCCCCATTTATTAACAATTTTAGTATTTAAAATGTTTTGGAATGTGTCTTGTACACGGACTATGCAATAGAGGACATGTACAGGCAGGCCTCATTTATTAACAATTTTAGTATTTAAAATGTTTTGGAATGTGTATTGTACACGGACTATGCAATAGAGGACACGTACAGCAGGCCCCATTAATTAACAATTTTAGTATTTAGTTGCAGCAGGCCCCATTTATTACATGTATTAACAAAAACAGGAGCTTCCTCATAAACCCAAAATTTATCATCTTTCGAGGAGCTAATGTTACTATGAAACCTAGAATTTGATCAGGTAGATTGGTTGCGGAAAAATAAGCAAATTTAGATGCAGGGCTAATGTTGCGACCCTGGAAATGCCGACATTACTTGGTTAGAAAATTCAACTGATCAGCTCAACTTTCTTTTTGGCGGAATAATGTCCTTAGATTACTGTTATGAGTGATGCGACGGACCGGCTATTTTATGCAAAGAACTTGAATAATATACTAGCACTTTCTGGCACGGCACGTTTGGGACGGTGAGTAAAAAGAAGTAAATGAAGCCCTCTTTATATTAGCAGTAGCAGAGAAAGCGTCATGAACACAAAAATTATAATAAAAACTCGTAAAGAAAAAAAAAACAAGTGTATCAGTACATTATTAAAGTCATGTACCCTCACAGAGACTAATTAATCAGGACATTGACACATTGTGGCACCGAATACACATACTTCTTTCTATTGAAACTCTTATCTTTTCATCACAACCTCTTTGTCTGGTTTGGCCAGCCAGCGAATTTCTATTGTCGGCGCTAATAGTGGCAATTAGTGGCATTCGGACCCTTGTGCTTATAGCCTGCATAATTGGCACGCAATTGCCTGCACCGACATGCAAAGGAACGCAAGGACCAGGCCAGGCGTGCCGGTCTTGTGACAGGTCTCGACTACAACACTCTTGCCTTCTTTTGTCTTTGTATAAGTTCCTTGTTAGGAGCATTATCATTTATTTTAAGTAAAATTTGGCAATTCTGGAATGTAAATAAAAAAATATAACTAACCTGTACTCAACACCCTGGTGGTTGAAAAAGAAAGTGTAATCGTTGTCGTTGTTGCAATTTCCCTTGCGCAATTTCCCTCTATACTCCAGCAGGAAGTCCCCCTTGCTGAAATGCTTAGTGGTAAAAAGACCATAACCTGTATACCAACGAGAAATAAAGGTCCAACACCACAATTGGTCACTCATAAAAAGTATACACACATGTGCGAGTTGATAAGAATTGGACCCACATTTTTTTCCCCTCTTTGTTTTGCCAAGTTGATTGCCAAGAGACTTCATTCAACTTTGAGTATAGCTCAGTCGGTAGAGCGTCGGTACGGTATTCCGGAGGTCACAGGTTCGAATCCTGCCCCTGCCAGTCTTTCTTTGTTAATACTTTGAAATGTATGCAAGATGATTACCTAGTCAGTTTCTCTTGTGTTTTATCTATGTGTTAAGTATAAAACTTACAGTTATACATTTTGAAAAGAATCCCCGTTATCTTATGACAATATATTTTTAAATGCAGATGATTTTGGCATGGAATTAATGACCAAAACAACACAGTACCTACAATACACGTTTGTTGGCCTACATGGACTATGTAGTATGTTACAAGAGGACCCCTGTGTGGACCCTTCAAACTCAAATGGATTTAGGAATTAGGCTTTATTACACAAAGGTTATTTGCCTTTTGCTTGCCAAAATCCTTAAAAAATGCCTGGTTAATTTTGCTAGATCAGTGAGTTTCAGGACCCCTGATAAACTTCATTTGAGAAATCAAAGATACATCCCACGGTCATGATGGAATCCCGATGTTGTTACAACTTTGAATTTAGTACCCAACCGTCACACAGATTGACTGATACTGTATTACTAACCAGAATGTGTAAATATGTATAACACTATCGTTTAGTAATACAGTATCGGTCAATTTTACTACGTACATTATATCAGTCATATCAGTACATTATATCAGTCAAACGTGAATGAGTATAGCCATTTATTGGTTTTTGTAACTGTCACATGTTCTACTTACCAACACAGTCATTGATGTACCTCCTCTCGAAGCCTTCAAGATTGATCACTGCCATTATTACACCATTTCTCAGCATGTTGTTGAGGCGATATTCTTCTTGTTTTTCTGCAATTCATTTTCTCTGACAAAGCAAAGTACTACATTAAAGAAAATACCAAAAGATTGCACAAACAAACATGCTCCATGTTGTATTTTTGCTTGCAATATGCACAACATGTCATTTGGCAATAAAAAAATCATTGATGTTCAAATTCATCAGAAATGAGCGTGGTTCTGCAAATTTTGAGAATGAAGCAACGGCAAAACGCATATCATCATCAGACTCAGAGGAAATAAAATGATGATGATGTGCAGTACTACAAACTCTGGTCACAACTAACAAGTAACAATAAACTAGTTTTCTAATAAATTCAAATCGATGTACATAATTATATGCACATAAATAGGCAGTACTGAAGCGAAATCGGCCAATTGATCCAAACGGCAAACAAATTTTTCAGTTTTCTTTCAATTTGTCCTACATGTATTTGTCTTCTGAAAAGTCTCTGAAATTATCATAAACGTATTACTTTCTGGTCCAAGTCATTATTTTGAGTAAAAAAAAAATTGTAAAAAAACATTGCAAAAAAAAATTGTCCCCTGCGCACGAGGTCAGGATTGAGGATCGATGACAGGATTGAGGCCTTCACGTTTCAGTCACTGTGTAAAGCGATTCAGTTGTGCGCATATGTTCACATGTAGGTCAAATAAAATGCATAATTCATGAGCAGTGACCCACGACAGAGGGACGATCGAAAACCAGAAATTACCAATGAATACTGACATCAGGGGCTTTTCAATTTTCAGGAGTTACGGTAATTCATAAGAACATCCGTGATGCAATAAATTTCCAAATTTTTTTTTTACTTTGCCTTAGGCCTATGTGCGCAGATAATGGAGGGTCGACATGGTCAGGGATATATGTAAAATGGAGCCATATCTGCGGCAAATGGGCATGTCAATTTTACATTGTACCTAGGCTACCCCGACTTCGAAAACTTTCATTGTCAGTGAGTCACATTATAATCGACATGATCGCTAAGTAGGTCTTAGCTAGGGCCTAGGCCTAGCTTATGGTGATGACATTTCCGATGCAGCATGGCAGCACACACAACCAAAGATCCTACACAGCCATATCGCCCATAACTTAGTACACGCGTTTGCCATAGATCGATCGCCCAAACCCAGAGGGGGTAGGCCTATTAATTGCTTAATTTCGACTACCCTAGTAGCAGGTCGAGGACCAAAGCTACATGTAGATCTAGCGACATCGCTAAACTGTGCGTACGTCGCTTGATCAAGCGACGTTGACGTAATTTACGTGTACATTATACTCAGACTCACAAGGAAACACAACCTGACACCAGATATTATGTGAATGTTGGCCACAGCCAAAGAACGTTTTTATTCATTTTTGCCGGATACCGAATTGTTTTCTTGGCATACCGGTCTCACATTGTCATAAAAATTAAGTGGGCGCACCTGGCCCCAAACATGTATACAAAATGGGCGCACCTGGCCCCATATACCAAATGGGCGCACCTGGCCCCATATACCAAATGGGCGCACCTGGCCCAATATACAAAATGGGCGCACCTGGCTCAATATACAAAATGGGCGCACCTGGCCAGAAACAAAGTGGGCGCACCTGCCCCCCTACAATAATACGAAATCATTAACATCATGATGGTAATTTTACAAGTAATTTCTGAGTGCAGAAGTGGTCCCACTGATGTTGTACATTCAGTCAGGAGCAGCATAGTCTTTTGAAACGTTCTAACACTATGTCCTCTGCACTTAACATTTATGATCATTATTCAGAACAAAAACCAATTTGTGTCTAGCTCCATGTCAGTTATTTTATTTTGAATTTTTAAAATGGGGGTTACTGGCTGTCTGCACCTCAAGAAAAAATGCCACACGCGCACAGCAGCGCGCGCCCACCAAGGAAAGGCAGACAGGAAGCCCTATGACCACACAAATAACACGTCAACACTAGAATTCAAAGTACTGTGCTGTCATAACACCAAATTAAAGAGTGGGAGACCTATAAAGGTTCCTACATATGTGCCAAAATGCAATGGTGGAGATTGGAGCTAAAAATTTGCGACCCAAGAGACGACAAATGCACTCCATCATAGCGAAAGAAAGACAGCTCTGACCACACTATCTGAGGGTGATGCAAGCAATATGCGCGTGACAGGGAAGCGCATTGAGATTTTGCCCAGCGATTAACAGTGCGGCGTTTTCTCTCAACTGCAGACTGAGAACGAGCACCAAAATAAAACACCCGGGGAAGGATGTCGGACCAGACAATGAACGTATCCGGAAACATGGCTCTACAATCACGCAGCAACACAGCAATTTTCTGCCTAAGACCATATTCGTCAATTGCCACCAGATCATTTGTGCCCAAGTGAATTATCAACATAGACGGTGGTGGCTGTTTGGCAGATAAGCCCGCCAGCAGTGAACGCAGCTCGCCCACTCCTGCGCCCCCTCTGCCTGTCCACGTAACCGTAATTCAGCCGCGGATGACGCAGCCCCAATTCTGAAAGAGTGCGCTCGAATACCAAGATCAGCAAGCCCAGCAACATTGACTGCTTTGCACAAGACTGTATTAAATTGATACTGCGTGAGAGGGGAACCATTGAAATGACAGAAAAATGGGCCATCACCAACAGGGCGAATTGCTGCAAAATCCAACAGCGCACGAACCGGGCAAATGGATTGATCAGGACAGGAAACCAACCAGACAGCTTGGGGACGGCCGCACTGATTATTTTTGGAATGCCGAAATACTATGACAACAGAAGGGGAATTTGTGTCGGAAGTGCACAATTGAATGTCATTCCCCAACAGAACAGACTTCTGAATATGGCACTGTGAGTAAACTGCGAATTCACCAACCCGCATAAAGGCAAAAAAAGGCACTCAAGAAAACTGCCCTGAACATCACAGACTCGAATTGGGACGCGCATACTGCCGACAACACCCCAGTAAGAGTGGCAGAGAAATGGGGAGCCGACCATCCACTGTGGGATGCTCTCGGCGAGTTCCCTCAACGAGCTTCGAAACTACAAAATGCTTAGTTGGATCATTATGCCCCTTAAGTTTATGTAAATAACTAACACCCGCAATATAGGTGGCAATTGTAGTTGGGGCCAATTGACGCAAGGACAACCAAGCTATAAAACTGCACACCTCGCCCACAGTTGCAGGTGACCCTCCTGAAACCAGCTGTTGCCGAAACTGACAAAAAGCTCGCCAGCCAGCAGCATAAGTCTTGTGAGAATTTGGCGCAATAGATGCTGTCAAGAGGCGATCCATCTTTACTTCTATGATACTTGAGGAAGAGCAGGCAGCGGGGTCATAACCGCGTCGGCAAAGGGATCTGTCCTGTAAAAACGATCCATCTGAAACCGGGACAATGCATCAGCAATCTCATTATACTGGCCTGGGACATGGACGGCCTTAATCAAAGTATTGGAACGCAGGCATTGCAAGACAAAAGGACGCACCAACTGCATGATTCGCGGACAAGGCGAGCTCAATTTATTAATGATGTGTACTACTGCAGTATTGTCAGTGTGAAAACAAACCTTGCGGCCAGCTAGTCGAGGAGCCCATGTCAACAAGGCAACTAGAATTGGGAAAAACTCCAGAAAAGTAATGGAGGGAGGATCGTGAGCAAACTCCTTCGGCCAATAACCCTGTACCCACTTTCCTTGAAAATATGCCCCAAAACCCACACTAGCGGCGGCATCGGTGTATAAATCAAGAGTCTCGTTAGATTGCCATGCACAGTCTGCCAACATTGAGATGCCATTGAAATGTGTCAGAAATTCTAACCACATAAGCATGTCAAGCTGAGCCCCTTTGGAAATGCGCACCTTGTGGTGTGGACGATGAAGCCCAGAAGTCAATGCAATAAGGCGACGCAAGAACACTCTGCCTGATGGAATGGCTCTGCATAAAAAATTTAATGAGCCAACTAAGGACTGGATCTCCACAAGAGAAATCTTACGCTTGCCCAGCACAGCTCGAATCTGCTCTGAAATTGCCTGAGTTTTTTGAAGGGGGATTCGCACCTCTGCTGCTACTGTGTCAATTTCTAAACCCAAATATGTGATAACCTGAGCAGGCCCGAAAGTTTTTTCAACCGACAGGGGAACACCTAATCGCTCACAAACTGCTTGAAACGTGCGCAGGAGACGTGCGCAGTTATCGGCACTCGTACCCACAAAAAGGAAATCATCGAGATAATGGGTGACCCCTTCTGTCTGACCAAAACACCTAACTTTAAATTCCAAAAATGTACTAAACTGTTCAAAAAGAGCACAGGAAACACTACAACCCATTGGCAAGCATCGATAATAATAAAACATGCCTTCAAATGAAAAACCCAGCAGTTCGTAATCTACCGGGGAAATGGGAAGCAAACGAAAAGCAGATTTAATGTCCGACTTTGCAAGCCACGCCCCATGCCCCGCCGCAGTGGCCAGTTCTACAGCCTTGTCAAATGATGCAGCGTGAACAGAGCATTTATCACTATCAATGAAATCATTCACTGACTGACCGGCTGGAAAGGAGAGGTGATGAATTAGACGAAATGTGCCTGGCTCACGTTTTGGAACTAGACCAATTGGGGAGCACTGTAAATTAGGAAACGGGCGTTCAGAAAATGGCCCGGCAATCCTCCCCAAATTAATTTCATTGGCTAGCTTTTGGCGAACTACCTGGGGACGTTCGGCCGCAGAAGCGAAACACTGTGAATCGCGTGCTTCCCTAGGACCATTATAGTTAAGTGAGAAACCCTCAGTGAAACCACTTCGTAAAACCTGACTAACACTTGAAAGCGGATAATCACCTAACCAATTTAACAACACAGGCACATTATTGGGGGTTGGGGGCACGAAAATTGGCTGATTTTGCACCCTGATGCAGTACAGGAGCTCTTACTGACGCTGCAGCAGCACTTGGCTTGGCAGGTAGCGGGGATCGAGGCTCATGCCGAACCGAACTTGATGCGCCAAAACCACTGGATGCAGTGGCCCCTCGCGCTTGCCCCCAAGCTCGACAACGCGTGGCGCCATGACCAGTGCGCGTGCATTTACTGCAAACGTGTGCGTATTTGCATCCCTGAAAATAGCAACCTTGGGCTGAATTAAAGCAAAACAATTCCCGAGCTTAAAAGAATTCCCTGTGCGGGGGGTCTGCGCTGCCGGCAGCCCACCACGTGAGTAAGAGGGGGAGTTCAGCCCGACCGCTGCAACGGTCAGCCACAGCTCGGAATCAATTTGACCCCAGGAACGGGGAGGGTCCGCTTCCTGTTTCAGCCTGAACTGCTCGTCGTACACCTTCCAGCCCTGGCCTGGAAATTGAATGTGCGCGGTACGAATAATTTCCGCGTAGCGCAGCAGCTCAGCAAACCTGTTTGTATGCTTTACAAGGTAAATGGCCATGAAAGTGTGAAATGCTGATTGCCACGCATCTAAACTCTCAATCTTCTTGCGAGTGGCCCCCGGTTTTCTCAGGACAAGAGAGCCCCCCTCCAACGCAAAAGTGAGATCTGTACCTTGCGTATCAGTGCGTGCCAAAACAGCACTTGCGGTGTCATTCCGTAACAAAGCCAAGTCAATACAGGAACCCTGCCAAATTTTTTCCTTTAGTGCCTGCGAAACATGAAAACCCAATATGGTATGTACACTGGCCTGGGCCATAGATAATGGGCGATGCATATTCATCATATCGATATTAGGCCCGTTACAAGTAGGTTGCTGAGACCCATACTCACCCCCCGGTGACACCAATGGGACACTGCCCAAAGCTGGCCCCATGCTGGTCGTTGTACATGGCGCAGCAGTAGCCGGAGCCATGGGAGCCGCAGGAACGGCGGATGGGGCACCGTTGAATGCTGCCGAACTCCCCGGCGATGATACCAAGCCCGAATTGGCATGAGGCAACAGGCCTCCGGAAATGTCTGTCCCAGATCCAGCCAAGGAAGACATCGCCCCGCAACTGGCGAGCAAAACCGACGGGGACATCGCTCCGAAGGACGGTACGGCTGCGTGAACTGGCTGGTATGCGGCAAGACTTGCTGCCGGCGGTTGGAATGTCCGCGAAACCCTGGATGTCATGGAAGCCCCGGATGTGACTGGTGTGAACTCCGGCTGCACGGCATGAGCACAAATCACCGGCGATAACCCTGGTTGGAATGTCAGCGAAGCCCCGGATGTCATTGAAGCCCCGGATGTGACTGGCGTGAACACTGGCTGCACGGCAATCGGTGCAGAAATCACCGGCGAAAAACTTGGAGCAGCACCGGATGTTGAGAGCCCGACTGATGTGATCAGTGGGTGTGCTGGCGCCGATTGCCCCGTGGTGGTGGACCCAAACCCCGGCTGGCATAGCGGAGCTGTGGCGATCGGGACCGCCCCGGGCACGGCAAAGGAGGCGGAGGGGGCAGTGCGAGCTGGAGCCCTCCGTGATCTTGACTTCTTCACAGGCGAAGATTTCTTTTTCTTCTTGGCACTGGAGGCTGGCTCAGGCACAGGCTCCACCAGAAACCGCGCAGGGCGGCGACGTTGGCGAGAAATATTCGCACGATACATCGCGAAACGACGAAATTGTTGTGTTTAATCTCACAACAAAATGCACCCTCCGCCTCCTTTGGATGGCTGTGACAGAATGACAGCTACATGTACGTGAATTGTGTTTCCCGCTCGAGATAGCGTCATGACGCGCATTCATGTTTTTTGATTGGTCTTAACCTTGTTCCATCCCGCATTTGCATACGCGCCACCCTAATTTGCATATCGATCCTGTCCACTATGACCTTGGTCATAAGTCACAGGTCACGAGTCACCTTCTCGCTTACATGTAATTGTTTACAATGTGTTCTGATCGGCTACTAGCGAAATGCTCTGCAATATACAGGATGCTTACGGTAGGTGTTCACTGAGTATAAGGCCTTTTATCGTTTATGCGATAAAAGGGGAATATACGTCATTTTTTAGTTATGTTTTTTAAAGCTCCGTGCACGAGCTCAGCCGGCAAAAAACGTAACGCAAAAAAAATTTGAGCGTTTGCTAAACTTACTTTATGTACATAAATGTTCATATTGAATGTATTCGTCAATCTAGTGGAAAAAAAATTAAACTTTATAGTAGGGAAAGTTTAAAAAAATCCCTCGAAAAATGTGCGATTCATCGCAATGGGAATCGCGGCTGCCGTGGCAGATTTTCGATCTAATCGCACGGGTCCCTGGCACCGTACCCCACGCCCGGTACGCGCAAAATGATAGGAGCCCGCCGAGTACCCATTAGCGCCGAGTCTGGGTACTCAACGGGCTCCAATCATTTTGCGTGTACGAGGTGTGGAGTACCAGAGACCTGTGCGATGAGATCGAAAATCTACTGTGGCAGCTGCAATTCATTATTTTTAAAGTTTATTTCCAACACAGTGGCGGATCCAGAGAGGTTGTTTGCCGGGGGGGCTGAGTTTGTTTTCCGGGGGGGCGCAACAGCTCATTTGAATGAAAAATGACCAAAATGACCTTATTTTACAAAATTTCGGTCACTGCCGGGGGGGGGGGGGGGGGGGTGCGCACACCCCCCTAGCACCCCCGGGATCCGCTTATGCAATAGATCAATGAAGACATTCAATATGAACATGTACATAAAAGTAACACTCCATTTTTTTCACGTTACATTTTGTTGCCGGCTGAACTTGTGGAGCTCATTCACGGAGCTATAAAAAAACATTACTAAAAAATGAGGTATTGCACACGTAAATTCAGCGAAGTAAAAAAAACATGTTTCACATCCCCGCCCGCTTCCTTTTTGGAGGCCGCCTGGATTTTTAATTTTTTTTTTGAAAACGCAGTAAAAAGACACCGAAAAAGTCCAGAAATTCATCGGAAAATAAATACTTGCGAAATATGGGAGTCGAAGTTTCAGTGACAGTATACTCTAAATGACACTAATATGTTCAGTTCTCTTGTCCAACTTGTCCTTCATTTTAAAAGTGTCTTTGAACAGTTGAAACACCAACGGTTGCAGGAAATTTTAAAATGGCTGCCATCTTGAAAAAAAAAAAAAAAAGCCCCTCTCCTCCTTTTTAACAAAAAAAACGGACGAGAGAAACATTTTTTTTTTATTCGGCCTTGCGCCATCGTCGCTTGATTAAGGCCAAAAAAATAATACTTCTGCTTCCAGTTACCCGACTGACCCTATTTTAAGGCTGCGACCCTAAAAATGTTATCTGCAATTCCAAAAAAAAAAATTATAATAATGATTGAATAAATGTCTTTTTTTGTCTTCACAAAATACCTCTCAACAACTCTTTTTTAGTCAAAAATGCTTGTATTTATTTGTTTTCTTACTTACATTCGCTATTTTTTCAAAAGAAACCTTCGTTATTTTTACAAATTCGCTTCACGATATAAACTTCGCAATTCAATGTCACGGTTACTCTAATCACGTGCGTAAACCCAGCGCAATGCAGCGATGACTGGTTCCCGCCGCGCCAATTTAGAAGACATGATGAAATTGCGGTAACTAGTCTGTGCACGGCTATGCGATCGATAGCGCTAGCATGGCTACAAACACGTGCACTGTCAACTGGTCTGATTCGACATCGTAATAATGCCAAGAAAGCACCGATGGAGAAAGAACGTTTTTGCAAATTAATTCACAGAAATGATCTAGCTTGTCTGTGTATGTATTTTCTGGGTTCAAGAGTTCATTATGAGATTGCACTACTCGTATTTGGAGTGATACATGCCGCGTGTTTCCCGAAATTTTTGACCGTGAAAACAGGTCTGTCGGCCCATGGCGGGCCGCTCGCCACACATGCTCGCATCACACACCTCGGAGTTTTGGCCAGCTCCCCGCGTCTTGACTAGCGTTGTACATATGGTGCGAACGACCTGATTTTGCCATTATTGTTTTAAATTATCGAACGTAAATATATTGACAATAATTATAGGTAGGTTTTATTCACTTTTTGTTGCCATTTTGTGTATAGCTTTCGTAGTGCAATGGAAATAGTTCAGGCTAAAACTTCGCATATAATTGGATACCCCATTCAATCTGCATTAAAAAAAATGGCCAAAAAAAAAAAATTCCGACCGACCGACCCTATTTTTAAAAGGCATGTAATCGGAAACAGAATTATTTATTTTTTTTTGGCCTAAGCGATGTATGCACAGTTTAGCGACGTCGCTAGATCTAGCTTTGGAACCCGACCGGAGTAGGCCTAGTCCTACCTCAATTTGTGTCCGTAACTTGCTCACCTTTCCAAATTAACCGAGTAGGCCGCCTAGGGCTAGGCTACAATGCAGCTAGGCTGCATGCAGGGCAGGCTATACAACGTGGTCCATTTTATTAAAACGAAGTCCAACTTTAACGCACAAAAGCAATCGAAATACTGCACACTATGATCAAAACAAAAACCAAAACATACAAGCAAAATACTGCCAAAATCAAATTTCTAACATAAATTTGGACAACGTCCAATCGCTCATTGTTAGGACAATGTTCACGCCAAGCCATGTTTGTTCGACTAGTCTAAACGTTAGGCAGTATTGGCTTCAGTACTTGTTAGGCCTACGTGATGTAGTGACTGTACTGATAGCTGACGGGACCGCGCCGCGTGATCAGGTCAAGTAGGCCTATACTGAGCGTCGAAATATTAACGTGATGTGATAAAAAAAAAAAACATGAGTAAACTAGGCCTAAAAAATGTTTTTGCATAGGAAAATACAATGTTTTTTTTACAAACCTGATGTGCCTTCTATCTGCCTATAATCATCGCAGGCGTCCAGCGATCTGAACAATCGTGGACGTGTTTCATCCTGCAAGCGCGGGAAATGGCATGGCACGGTGCCAACTTGCGCACTCGGCGCAGCGCGCGGCGGCCCGGATTGGTACAGCGCGCCACGCACGTACCGCTTGAGGGCGTCCTACAGTTAGGGATGAGTACGTTCCATTTTTTTGTCACACGAGCTGAATGTAGTTCATACTTTCACGAACCGACTCCTGACCTTCACCGCCAAAACGTGGACTATCGTTAAAGGGAATATACATCATTTGCTTTTGCTGTAATTTTCAGAAATGGATGGAATTGGGGGGTTGGAAATATAAAGCAAATATAGTTACACTAACTTTTTTGAGGTTTTGGGTTCGAAAATGCTATAAAAACCAAGAAAAACGATCATTTTCCTGTAGTCTGGTTCCCTGACTCCATATAAGAAGAAACAGAGCAGTTTACATACATTGGGGGAATTGTAAGGTCAGGGAACCAGTCTAGCTGGCTCGTACCCGTTTATAGGTGTGTAATCGATTGCAAACAAGTGCAATGGTCAATTGGGGCCAGTATTTGAAAAAAAGCCAGTTGTTTCCAACGCTGATCGGCCGATCAGCATTGGAAATCAGTGTTGGAGCAAAGGCTTTGACCCTCAAGGCCAAGGCCAAGGCCAAGGCTTTGACCCTCAAGGCCAAGGCCAAGGCCAAGGCTTTGACCCTCAAGCCTCGAGGCCAAGGCCAAGGCTTAACCCTCAAGGCCATGGCCAAGGCCCTGTTTTATGAAATGACCACTGATATAGAACTAGTTATAGTCACACGAGTGACACATCAACACGCAAGGGCGGATCCAGAACACAATTTGGGGGGGGGGCAAAGAAATTTTGGTGTCCCCCCCCCAAAAAAAAGTGGGTCAAAAAATGACGGCTTTGGCTTCAGGGCCCGTTTAAGGGCCCCGAAAAAATTTTGGATTCGAGATGCTCTGTGGTGCGATTTGAGGCAATTTCTGACCATTTTAACCGATGTTTTTTGAGGAAAAGATGGTGGTGTACTCATTGCCTGCCTTTATTACGACGTCACATAAAAAAAATGGTTTCGTTTGGGTTTTTTTTGGGGGGGGGCATCGCCCCTTTTGGCCCCCCCTGGATCTGCCCTTATCATCACGAATTGCTCGTTACAAAGAACAACATTTCTTTAATTGCAATCAACATGCTCGCATAGGCCTACACCATTTTATGACTGCACTGTATAAGTTCAGGTCTTCAATATGGTTTAACTAAACAAAATAATGATTTACTTCTATGTTGACACACAATTCTCCCAAGTGTAACAAAAGGGGGATCCAAGAAACTGATTTGGGAATTTTTTATTTGCTGGCCCAACATGGTCAGAAATATCAGCATTATCTAAAACAGATACATGCAAATCTTTAGCACTTATCAGGGAGACATAGGCCCTATACAACCAATCAGATCTATTCCATAGTTATATGCAATTAAAGTGATCATCTCATTAGCCCCCCAAGTGTACGGAATATTTTTGCAGCAAATCTACTACAATGGTAACAAATGTGATGCTACAAAAGTGGAAGTGTGCCCAACACACAAATCTACAGGGTGCTTCCCTCCTCCATGGTAATACAATTAAAATGGTAACAGCAAAATTTCGAACAGATTTATCTGGAAAATGCAAAAATCTATGGGCCTTGAAGAGCCTTGACTCAAATTTGCAAGGCCCTGAACCCTCAAGGCCAAGGCCAAGGCCAAGGCTTTTGCCCTCAAGCCTCGAGGCCAAGGCCAAGGCCCTAAAATCCAGCCTTAAGGCAGCCTTAAGGCCAAGGCCCAGCATCAAGGCACTACATCACTGTTGGAAATTGATACAAAAATACCACTTTTCTTGAAAATGACAGTATACCAGGTGCCATAATTTTACAGGATGCTTTAGACTGTCATTTACCAACATCCTGTTAAGGTATTTCGCAAAAACTTGGTAGTTTTATTTTTCGATGTTTGCAAATGTTGTATATTCCCTTTAAAACTGTTGATAAATGATAGAGC